TTGAAAGAAATATTGGGCATAATATTATTAGAAATTAGCCGGGCATGGTGGCACATGCTGTAGTCAGCTCTTGGGAGGCTGAGGCAGAAGGATTGTTGAGCCCAGGATTTGAGGTTGCTGTGTGACTAGGCTGACGCCACGGTAGTCACTCTAGCCTGGGCAACAAAGTGAGAACTCTGTCTAAAAAAAAAAAGGAACTTCAGAACTATAAAATATGTGGAAATTAACAACATGCTTCTGAATGATCACTAGGTCAACAAGAAATAAAAATGGAATTAAAAATTTTTTGACAGAAATGAAATGAAATGAAAACAACAATACCAAAACTGTGGGATACATAAAAATCAATGCTAAGAGAGAAGTTTACAGCATTTAAATGCCAACATCAAAGTAGAAATTTACCAACAAATTACCAACCTAACATTGCATCTCAAAGAACTAGAAAACAAAAGCAAACTAAAGTTAAAAAAGAAAGAATAAAAAGATCAGAGTGAACTCATGAAATAAGAGACCAAAGAAACAATATAGAAGAGATCAATGAAACAAACAGTTGGTTTCTTTGAAAAGATGAACAAAATTTATAAACCACTACCTACCATTACCAAGAAAAGAAGATCCAAATAACACAATCACAAATGAAAAGGAGACATTACTAACAAGGGATGTCAAAAGATTATCAGAGGCCAGGCATGGGGACACCTGTAATCCTAGCACTCTGGGAGGCCAAGGCGAGTATCGTTTGAGCTCAGGAGTTCGAGACCAGCCTCAGCAAGTGTGAGACCCCGTCTCTACTAAAAAAATAGAAAGAAATTAGCTGGATACTAAAAGTATATATAAAAAATTAAGCTGGGCATGGTGGGCACATGCCTGTGTCCCAGCAACTCAGGAGGCTGAGGCAGTAGGACTGCTTGAGTCAGGAGTTTGAGTTGCTGTGAGCGAGGCTGATGCCATGGCACTCTAGCCTGCGGCAACAGAGTGAGACTCTGCCTCAAACAAAAAGCAAAAAAATAACACTCGTATCCCCTAAATCTTCTTGATAAAATAAAACTGCATTGAGAATGGTGTGGCATTGGGAAACTAATCAGGCTCTTTTGCAACACACACATACTGAGTGGCCCTGTGGCATTTAGCCCTGGGTTACACCTGACTGCTGCTCTATAAAAAGTGAAGAATCTACCTGGAGAAGCATCCTTTTTATGAATATATATAAAGCTTATAGACAGAACAGATTTTGAAGTAACTTAAAACTCCACAATACAAGAAAGGGGAGGGTGGAAAAAAGAGGGAAAGGTAGCTTGCCCTAGGGTCTGTACTAAATACCTCCAGTTCAAGAATTACGTAGTGAGTCCTTTTTTTGGAAATGGGGGAGAGGTTGTCCCTAGCCAGCCTGCATGCAATGACCAGACGTTAAGCCTGATACTGACATTCACATGCCTACAGATTTACACAGAGCCTATTCAGTGACTTCCCATTCAGTAGAAACCCCAAATGCATGCCAGAAACTGGGTACGATACAGAATGCATACATATACTATATTTTTTCCTTAATACATTACATATAAATTTAATTTACATATTAGACACAATATTCTTGCACTTTGGGGGTTATAATTAAGTATATACTTGAAAGCAAGTACTGCAATACCTCCACAGGGGACCTCGATAAACCAGATGGCTACTAAGTGACTAACAGGCAAGTAACCTATCTATACAGGTCAATAAATACTCTGGAAAAAGGGATAAGTCACATCGGGGCAAGATAGAGTAGGACAGGACAAGATTTCCATCATGCTATTCAAAACAAGCACACCATTTAAAACTTCTGAATGGTTTATTATTGGAATTTTCCATTTAATATTTTTAGACCACAGGTGACCACAGGTAACTAAGACCACAGAAAGTATGTATGTAGGGGTTGCGAAATTCACCTAACTATACACATAATTTGTGTATTTTTAGTAAGTTATATTTTCATTAAAAGCTTTTAAAAACGTTGCCATAGACCCCGGAAGCGCGTTGATCATCATCTACCTCTGGTTTTACTACGATAGATTGCAGTAACTTTCAACCAAGTGGAGTGGTGTGGACAAGTTCGGCCACACACAACCTCTGGACTTCCCTGCGCGCCCCGCCCCGGGCAGAGGAGCCTGGTTCCTTTTGCCTCAGAAGACTGAAGGCCGTCGGGTCCACGGTCTGAAGCGACCGACGGCTTCCCCCGGCCGGCTCAGCCACACGAACGGCTCCCAGATCCCCCCAGAGGTTCTCGGCGCGCTCGCCCACATTCCACCCGCCTGAGGATCATGCCCTCTGTTCTCCCGCTCCGGGCCCGCGATGACGGCGACGCTGATCCTGGAGCCCGCGGGCGCTGCTGCTGGGACGAGCCGGTGCGCATCGTCGTGCGCGGCCTGGGGCCGAGCAGGCCCGTCACGCTGCGCGCGTCCCTGGCGACGAGCAAGGCGCGCTTTCCGGGCCCACGCGCGTTACCGCCGACGTCGCCGGCCAGCTGGACCTGGCGCGCGCGCCCTGCGCTGGGTGGCAGCTTCGCGGGGCTCGAGCCCATGGGTGCTCTGGGCCCTGGAGCCCGAGAAGCCATTCTGGCGCTTTCTGAAGCGCACTGTGCGGACGCCGTTCGCCGTGAGTGGAGGTGCTGGACGGCCACGGGCCAGAGCCGGCGGCTGCTGGGCCGGGCGGTGCACGAGCGCGACTTCCTGCCGCCGGGGTGCGGCGCGGAGCGGTGCGCGGGCCGGGTGCGCGCCACGCTCTTCCTGCCGCCAGGTGAGCTGGGGGCTGCGGGGAGTGTGTGAGGGTCGTGCCTCCCGGGCTGCTCTAGCTGAGGTTTGGCTCCGGGGCAAGATCAGAAAGCTGGCATTGGTTGTCAATGGCGCTCAGCAAAGAGGGGGATTTTGGCGTTAGGT